AAGAACATCCCCAGCAGCCAAACTTCAGGTATTATTCTCAACTAACCCTATCTTACATCGGAAATGTAAGGCTAGGTTGCCAACTCAGACCACCTCCATGTGCATCTACCCCTTTACTTGCTCCTGTGGAGCAGGTTATATTGGTCGCAGGCGCCGGCGTCCCTCCAAAAAAAATAAAGGAACACCTCTAGGCATGGCGGATAAAAGGTGAAGTCAGGAGCATAAACAGCTCTATTCTGGCGCACATAGTTGATTCCAAAACGAAGCTTTCCGAGTGATCTATAAGGTACCACTAAATTATCCAGAGGCAGCACCTGCTAGCAATGGCAGAAGCGACCGCTGTCAGGTTGATGAAGCCGGCGTTGTATGCGCAAAGGACTTCGTGCAAGCTCCACATCTGGCGTGGCCCGCAGTCACTTAGCGGCATGCACTCATCCGCGCTCTAGTTGTCTCCCGCTTGTAATAAAAGACGAACATTATTGACCGTTCGTTTAGGTTTTACCCCGTCCCATAAAAATGTATTGGCCTGATTTATTGTCCCGTACAGGACAATAAATCAATTGATCCGGTGCTCGACACCTCCTCTTCCTTATCCATGCAGATACCTGCACTGCGAACCTTTTCATTCATTTGGCCTGAATAGAGTTTATCGAAAGTGCACGTACGCTCGCCAAACTATTCTTCTGGATTCTCTGATGGGAATTTTCGCAATCATTATAGGCAAGAAAATTTTAAATATATCCTTCCTATAAACTGAAAATCTAGTGTTAATTTGATGAAAATCAAAATGAAAGTAAGTGTGAGCAATCGCATCGTTTTGCAAAAAATAAAAAACAATTTGGGTTTTTGAATATAGTTTTTTTGCCAACGTTTCCCGATTTTTTGTCACAAAACACAGTAACAAAAGTTTATACCGTCTGTTTTACCGCATCGGCGAACGGTAACGGAACGGTAACCAAAAATGCATATATATATTTTATCGCGGGAAAATAAAGGTAAATAAAAATCTTATCAAATCTAGAGCATGCGGAAAGAACCTTTTTTGTACAATGATGATCATCATGCCTGACCCCTCTATCCGCTCCCTCTGTAGATGAGTCGTAACATGCAGGCGGTGTGCCTTCGTACTCGCAGCGAAGCCAGCTGCATTCGTCTGGTGGGCTACGTGGCGGTCTATCGGTTCTGCATCCCGCTCGCTGCGCTGCACTTCATCCTAATGTTGGTCACAATTGGCAATTCGGACAGCCAGTCTGTGGCCGGCAAGCTACACAATGGGTTTGTGGCATCTTTGACGCATGTTTACCACCATTTGCAGGTTCTGGTTCTGGAAGATCCTCGTTCTGGCGGGTCTGTGGGTCGGTCTAGTCTTTCTGCCCAGTCTCAACACTACAACCTACGGTAAGATTGTTTTTTGGCTTTCGAATTGACGCACACCTTTTTTCCGCCTAGTCCTCATGGTAATTGGAGTTGCAGGCGGAATCGCCATGATCTACATCCAACACGTCTTCCTGATTGATTTTGCCTACGAACTCAATGGACGTTGGTAAGTACTGCATACAGTAGATTGTCTTTCTCATGAAACTCACAGAAATAAAGGACCGACCGTTCCTAAAAGTAGGGCATGCTGTGGATTATAAATTCATACTACATTGACCAACGGGCTACTTGATTGGTGAGGTTTCCAAGCGGGGTCGTCAGAGGGACCTTATGTATTATAGTGACCTACTTAAATGTTTTAAGTAGATTTAATTACTCATGAGCTTCCAGTTTTCTACACGCCATCCGTCGATCCAGCAAGGATTTGATGATGGCGTTGAACTGCAGAGCGGTCCTCCGAAGGTCATCACATACCATAACCGCTTAAGTCAGCATAGTAAGTGCAATTGACATTTTAAACTAACCACGGGAATAACCGCTTACTTACACATTTTAAGTAGGGTGATTTCCACAATCTTCCCAGTTTTGTACTTCGTTCACCTTTTTTCTATTTGGTGTTGGTGGTTCCACTAGAAAATGTACTTCAATGACCTCGTCCGAAGTTAGGGCACACTCCCCATACATACAGGCCTTCGCCGTTGGTCGGGTGGCGGGGGGGGGTAGCGATGATATTAAAGCCTACTTCAGCGTCTTCTCCGAAGGTTTGAGTACGCGACCCAACTTGTCCTCGTAACTCGTGATCTAATTTGTTCCCTGACATGCCCCGCCCGTCCTCTCCCCTAAAATCAGGTGAACGTTAGCCCGCTGGGCGCGCTTCACACGTTCCCGAGGCGGCCCCACAAGGAATCCCTACCACTTGTTTTTGTCGGTTGCGATCTTGAATAGGATGATGGTAGGGCGCTCAACGACGCAGTTAGAGAACATGCTCGTCCTGTTGTGCCTTGAAGCTCACTCTAGAGCCCTCACAAGCAGTCGCGTAGTGGTTTGTAACATATGATGGGGTGTGGAATCTACAAAGACAAGGGAGACCGAAATGGCTGATTCTGACTCATTAGCCGTCATCAACAAGTTATGCCTCACCTCAAGTTGTGCCCAACCTGGGGCTCGAACCAGCGGCCTTTTGGTTATGGAGTGAAACACTCTTCCATTGAGTTACGAAGCCGTTGTTTTTGTCAGTTGTGATCGGGAATACGATTGTAGTAGGGCGTTCACCAATCTGGTTAAGGATCATACTCCATCATAGGGAACCACAATAGATGCGTCTCCTCCGGCGTTCCCACCCGCCCTCACGGC